CTTTACGATATTTTGGAAAAATTACATTTTTATTAAATAATGTCAAGTTTGATCATCCGTTTATGTAATTTTTATTTTCATTGCATGATTATGCAAAATAATAAGGTATAATTTTCTCGTTAATTGTGCGAAATAGCCAGAACAACCGCAGTGGTGTGAAGTCGATGTTTATCGAAGGCATGCTGTGAAACATACAAATAGTAGACATCTAAATGTTATGCACAAATTTACTTTAAAAGAACTAGCGTGAAACTGACTTATTATTTGAGAATTTATCTAAATTATTCCAATTATAAAATTGTGATCTAGCTTTACTCGAATTGTAATACGCATTTAATTTCATCTTCCGATTAAAATGGATCGATCTTTGTAAATTTTAATGGGAGATTATTCAATATTATCAAAATCACCCTCTACCAACTTAATTTTTACATATTTCGTCTGTTTTCCCTTAATTTGGTAAAAGGAACAGCGCCTTCGTCTTGGTCTGCAGGCTGTATCTTAGATACAGCCGCTAAATTTAAACGTAGAATACGTGGTATGGTTAAGGGCATATCCAAATCAAAAACGGAAGCACACTAAGAAAAAAATATCGATAACAAAAGCGATAATAATATCGATAACAAAATCGATTACTTAGTTGATTACAAAGTCGAAAACTAAATCGATAACAAATCAACAGAAATATCGACATCAAAAGCGAAAACAACATCGATAGCAAAATCGATAATAAAACCGATAAAAATATCGATAACAAAAGCGATAACAATATCGATTAAAAATATCGGTAACAGAACCGATAAAAATATTGATGAGAAAATCGATAAAAATATCGACAACAAAAACGATAGCAAAATCAATAACAAAATCGATAAAAATATCGATAACAAAAGCGATAACAATATCGATTAAAAATATCGGTAACAGAACCGATAAAAATATTGATGAGAAAATCGATAAAAATATCGACAACAAAAACGATAGCAAAATCAATAACAAAATCGATAAAAATATCGATAACAACATCGATAAAAATATCGATAACAATATCGATAACGAAACTTATAAAAATATCGATAACAGCATCGATAAAAAAATCGATAACAAAATCGATAACGAAATCGATAAAAATATCGATAATAAAATCAATGACAACGTCGAAAACAAAATCGATTACAAAATCGATAACAAAATCAATCAAAATATCGATAACAAAGTCGATAAAAAATATGGATAACAAAATCGATAAAAATATCGATCATTATATCGATAAGTTCCGAAAATATCGATTGAAAAATCAACAACAATATCGATAAAAATATCGTTAACAAAATCGATAAAAATATCGATCACAAAACCGACAAAATATCGATTATTGTATCGATAAGTCCCGAGAATTCCGAAAAGCTCTAAAATCCTGAAATAGTTTGCAGTTTGAGTCTCTGTGCCTCTATCTACATATATCTTTTTCTCTAGAACTACCTATATTTTAATCTTTCTTCCTCTATCTTCTATACTTTTATCGGTATCCTCATCCTCATCTTTTTCCTTATATTTATCTTTGTTCTTATATTTGTTTATCATATTCTTTATATACATATTCCCCTTCACCTTTGCCCTTATATAAATAAAGGCGCATATTCATAGTCATATTTAGTACTCAACTAAGTCGAAACTATTCTAAGTCACAACTAAAGCTATTCATAGTCGCCTTAGTTTCGACTTTTCTGGCTAAGTACCAACTTAAAATTTAGTTTCGGCTGCAGCTGCAACTAAGTCGTAACTAGAAAGAAGTATTTTATCAAATTAAGGGAAAACAGACGAAATATGTAAAAATTAAGTTGGTAGAGGGTGATTTTGATAATATTAAATAATCTCGAATTAAAATTTACAAAGATCGATCCATTTTAACCGGAAGATGAAATTAAATGCGTACTACAATTCGAATAAAGCTACATCACAATTTTATAATTGGAATAATTTAGATAAATTCTCAAATAAAAAGTCAGTTTAACGCTAGTTCTTTTAAAGTAAATTTGTGCATAACATTTAGATATCTACTATTTGTGTGTTTCACAGCATGCTTTCGATAACATCGACTTCACATCACTGCGGTTGTTCTGGCTATTTCACACAATTAACAAGAAAATGATACCTTATTCTTTTGCATAATCATGCAATGAAAATAAAAATTACATAAACGGATGATCAAACTTGCCATTATTTAATAAAAATGTTATTTTTCCAAAATATCGTAAAGAAAAATAGATACATTTTCACATTCGTTTTGCTATATCGTAAACTAAGTCGAAACTACTTAGTAGAAGTCTGAAACGCGACTATGAATAGAGGTAAATTTTAAGTTGGTACTTAAATTTAAGTTGCAACTTTGTTAGTTTCGACTTAGTTGCTGAATACGCGCCAAAGTGTTTAAATTTATCTTCGTCTTCATTTTTGCCTTTATCTTTGCGCAACTTTGTTTTTGTTTTTATTTTTACCTTTGCCTTTATCCTTTTCTTTATCTATGTACGTACTCACCTTTACTTTTATTCTTGGATTGGTCTTTTTCTAAGTGTTGTTTCACTTCAAAAAGTTTTCGCGTATTATGCATACATGTGTTCATACATATATGTATGTATGTACATATGTATATAATATGTATAGGCATACACAGTTTACTAAAAAATAGAAACAGATCCACATTAACTGCAATCAACATCCTTACTAATATTATAAATCCGAAAGTGAGTTTGTTTGTTTGCTTCGCTTTCACGCTTTAACTATTCAACCGATCATCATGAAATTTTGTACACTGCTGTTATTTAGACCGATCATCATGAAATTTTGTACAC